CGTCTCTGTCTCATGTTGAGTTCCTTCTGATTGAGGATATGTTGGAGGCTTTTATGATCAGTGAAGATGGTACATTTTGTGCCGTAGAGATAGTGTCTCCATATCTTCAGAGCGAAGACGACTGCTCCTAGCTCAAGATCATGCGTTGTGTAGTTCGCTTCGTGCGTCTTTAGTTGCCTTGAGGCGTAGGCGATGGCCTTCCCTCTTTGCATTAAGACACACCCAAGTCCTTGGTTTGATGCATCACAATAGACCACGAAGTCCTCCATTCCCTCTGGCAGGGTTAAGATGGGCGCACTACATAAGGCTCGCTTTAGTGTCAGAAATGCGCTGTCTTGTTTTTTTCCCCAGTCGAAGGTCACATTCTTCTGGGTTAGGGTGGTAAGTGGCTTGGCAAACTTTGAAAAGTTCGGTATGAATCTTCGGTAGTACCCGGCGAGTCCCAAAAATTGCCAGATTTCTGTAGGGGTTCTTGGAGTAGTCCAACTATCTATTGCCTTTATCTTGGAGGGGTCCACGTGTATTCCTTCTTTGCTTACAACATGTCCTAGGAAATCCACTTCCCGAATCCAAAATTCACATTTGGAAAATTTTGCATAAAGTTTCTCTGCCCTTAATGTTTCCAGTACTTGGCGGAGATGTTGGCTGTGTTCTTCCTGGCTTCTTGAATAGATGAGTATATCATCTATGAATACGATAACGAATTTATCCAGGAAGGGACGACATACTCGGTTCATCAAATCCATGAACACTGCTGGAGCATTCTTCAATCCGAAGGGCATTACTACAAATTCGTAGTAACCATAACATGTTCGGAAAGCCGTTTTGGGGATGTCTCCCTCCAGCACTCGTAGTTGGTGATAACCAGATCTTAGATCGATCTTTGAGAAGTAGCTTGCTCCCTGTAGTTGGTCGAATAGATCGTCTATGCGCGGTAAGGGATATCGGTTCTTGATCGTGAGTTTGTTTAGTTCCCGATAATCGATGCACATGCGAAAGGATCTGTCCTTCTTTTTCACGAATAGGACTGGCGCTCCCCATGGTGAGGAGCTCGGTCTAATGAATCCCTTGCTCAGCAGCTCATTTAATTGACTGGATAGTTCATGCATCTTGGTTGGGGCTAAACGGTAAGGTGACTTTGCTACAGGGGTAGCTCCGGGGATTAAGTCGATTCTGAACTCGACTTGACGTTCCGGTGGGATTCCTAGAAGATCTTCTGGGAAAATATACGGGAAGTTGCAGACTTCCGGAATATCTTTAATGTTTTTCGATTCTCGTTTCTTGTCTACTACGTGGGCTAGAAAGGCATGATATTCCTTACGAAGATACTTTTGTGCTTTAATACAGGAAATGATTTGTAAACTTGAACTAGGTTTGTCGCCATAAATGACAAGAGTTTCACCGTTTGGCAGATTTAGGCGAACAGCCCTTTCGTGGCAATGGATATCGGCATGGTGAAGGCTCAACCAGTCCATACCGATGATGACATCGAAACTTCTTATGGAAATGGGCATAGGATTGACTCGAAAGAAACGCTCGTTTAGATTTAGTGTGCACCCTATGTACAAATCGTTTGCGTGTTCTATTTTACTGTTTGCCATTTCTACGGTGAATATTTTATTGAGTGGTTGGGGTTTTTGATTAAGTAGGTGTTTGAATTTATGACTCACAAAACTTCTCTCCGCACCGCAGTCAAAAAGTATGCATGCATAAGTGTTATTGAGTAGGAACGTACCCGTAACCACCATGGGGTCCGCTATTGCTTCATTCTGTCCTACTGCCAGCACTCTCCCCACACCGCCAATATTCCTTTCCTTGGGACAATCCCTCCTAAAGTGTCTAGTCTCCCCGCACCCATAACACGCCCGGCTTACTCCAGTGCCAGAAACTTGAGTGATTGGTCGTGCCGGTGCTTTACAGAAACGGGCTGTGTGCCCCTTCCTGTCACAGTTCTTGCAGTGCATCTCGCGACAAATACCATGGTGATGGTAGTTGCACTTGCTGCACTTGGGCAGATTCCCCACATATGGTTTTGTTGGTGCAGAGGTAGCAGGAGTTGTGGTGGGGGTAGTAGCAACATGAACCGCAACCATTTGCTTCTTTGAAGGTTCTTGCGAAGTTTGCCCCTTCCTTTTGTTCCAAAATTTCTTCTTGTTGTTGTTGTTGGCATTGATCTCATTGTTGCTGTTCCCTTTGGTTGGTTCAACCATGATAGCCGTGACTCCTTGACAGACACCATGATCAACAAGAGGTTGCGCTAGTTCTTTGGCGCTGGCGAAGGTCAAGGGTCTGGAAGCTAGCACACTTCCTCGAAGTTGGGGTGATAGTCCCCAGATGTATCTCTCGACCTTTTGGCTTTCTAGGGTTAACATTCCTGGGCAAAGTGTTATTAAGTCACTGAACCTGTTGGTATAACCTGCTATATCCGAACCTACCATCGAGAGGTTCCACAGTTCCTGTTCAAGCTTCTGAATCTCGCCTCTTGGGCAGTATTCTCGAAGGAGAATTCTTTTCAGGTTTTCCCAACCCATGGAGTTCGCCACCACTAGGGTTAGTGTCTGGACGTGGCCGTTCCACCATGTCAGGGCGCGTTCAGAGAAAGTAAAAGCAACAAACTTTACTTTGCTTTCTTCAGGACATGCACAGATTTCGAATACAACTTCCGTTTTCTCTATCCATTGAGATAGAGCCAATACTCCTCTAGTCCCCTAAAAGGGAATAGGTTTTCCATTGGTGAAGTCTTTGTAGGTGCATACCCCTGAACGGCTTTGACCTTGGCCATTTGTAAAATTGTTTGTTCCTCCCCCCGATCCGTTGTTGCTCATTTGTGCCATTGTTGCAGTTACAGCAGCGGTTACAGCAGTCTCGAACATAACGGTGTCCATAATTGGAGGAGGTGGTGGAGGTGGTGTTGAAATTGAGTTTCTGCGTGTTGATCTACGAGGAGGCATGTTCTGGTAGAGAAAAATAAGAATGAATACTATAAGTTTCTAATGTTTTGACAAACGTGTGTTAGTTGTATCTTGTAATTTGTTTTGACTTTAGTTTATGGTTTCAAGGTAGGCATAAAAATTTAAAACTCGAAATTTTTGAGAAGTAAGAAATACTTCATATTCATACATATAGGTCACACCTGAGGTGTGTTACATTACATGTTTTTGTTTGGAAAATTTGATCCTCCTAGAGATCTCCGATTACGGATACAACAGGGAAAACAAGGGAAATAAGGGAAAAACTTTTATCCGAAATCCTAATCTATAACAAAATTGTTGGGGCTCGAACAAGTTCTACTTGCAACGTTTGGAGCTAGATTCGGCATTCGACCGTTTGACTCCCATCAGTCGCCTCTCAAGATCTGCTTGTTGTTCCTTCATCTCTCTTATATCTGCCAGAGCCGTTATGATTTGGTTCTGAAGTGTCCCCGTGTAGATTTGGGTATTCTCATGTAGTCCTTCCAAACGGCGGATGTCAGCGGCGTTACCTTGGGTAGCAGCATTGACCTCGCGAACTCTGGCTGCTTGCCTGTCCGTCTCGTAGTTCTGGGTAGCTATAGCGTTCACAATAACAGGAAGTGCTCGATCAGCTGAGCTTCCCCCACTGACATTGTAAAAATCTCGGCACATGCCGAAAGGAGGGCGTACACCTTGCTGGCGGCTCCAGTAGTAGAGGTGACTTCCCCACATGGGAATGGGTCCCGGTTGATATGGTCTGATTTTGGGAGGATGAGGGATGGGAGGGTCGAACACTTCTGGCTCGGAGTCTGTCCCGCTAGAAATCTCCTCGATCTCTTCGTCGACTTCGAATTCCTCTCCGACTTCGACTTCGAATTCTCCCTCGATAACCCCTTCGGGTTCTTCCTCGACCTCTTCTTCGATTTCCTCTGGGTCTTCCTCCGGGTCTTCTTCTATCCAACCGCCGTTGCCTTGGTTTGGGTAGTAGGGATCTCCTGGTAAATGGAATCCGGCCATTTGTCTGTACTAGGATAGATGTATGAGAACTTTTATAAGAAAAGAAAATTCTATTTAACGACTTACTATTTTTAACTATAATTTGTACAACTATTTTTAATAATACTCCTATAATATTTCAATTTGGCGAAACCACTACAACAAAATGAAGCTAATGCAACCCCACTAAAAAGTTGCATTAGGCCTTTAAAAAGTTGCATAATGCCTAAAGCAACCTTTTACCAAAGGTTGCATTAGGTGAATTTGCATTTGATCTAAAGCAACTTTTTTCTTAAAAAGTGTAACCCTTTTTAAAATAGTTGCAAATCTTTTTATGATGCAACTTTTTTTAATGCAACTTTTTTATGTTCATATGCAACTTTTTTTACACGTAGATGCAACTCTTTTTAACTATTTTAGTTATAAAAGTGCAACTATTTTGTTAATCAATTTCAACCTTTATTATGTTTCTACTAAAGAATAGCAACCTTTCTCTATAGTATATGCAACCTTTGTTACGTATTTAATTGCATATAATGCAACCATGTTTACAATTAAATGCAACTTTATTTTTGTGACTTTTTTAACGTCAATGCGACATCTTTTTTCCTAGTCATGTAGACGCTACATATGTTTACTATATTGCTACAAATATTCAATACCACTAAAACTTCACCATAACAATAATAACAAAAATATCTTATATAAATTTATGGTCTAATTTGACATGTCTAAATTCAAAATAACAACCATAAATCAAATACAAAACAAAGTTGTCAACTATAATCACAAAAAAAAGGTATAAAAATATCCTAGATGTCTACTAAACATAGACGATAAATCATTTTAGCAACTATCGACCTTCTAGAGGTTCTTCCACAAACTTCCACATCATGCGTTCAAGGTTTTTTTGGTTGATTTTTAATATTTATTCGCATCACTTCTAATTCAGCCTGTTTTTGTCATGGTCGTCTTGAATCTCTTTCTGAATTTCTTTTAGCGCCATTTGCTTTGAATTATTCCATAAGTCCCGCCGGAATTATGTATGATGCATCACCACCACACACATTTTTTTATCAATCTATTAGCAACGTCTCTACTATAAAGTCGACAGTATCCATCATGATCTTTGTTCATCACAATCATATAACGATCTACAGCATCACGTCCATCTTCTAGAGGTTTGTAGTTCTTCATTTGTTCCTAAAAGATTATTCAAAAATTAATAGGATAAAATTAATAAAAAATATACCATTAAAAGTTGTTTATATTGTAAAAAAAATTACATTTCAATGTAGAAAAAAGATATTTTTTTTAATGTGTAAAAGACAACCACTTGATGTCCAAAAATCTGCTATCAAAAAGTTGTTTTTAATGTAAAAAGGTAAAAAAATGAATAAATAAATAAATAAAACTTTGCATTTTATCATCTAAAAAACTGCATTTTGACATCTTAAAAACTACATTTTAATGTCTAAAAATTTGCATTTTAACATAAAAAAAACTACAATTTAACGTCAAAAAATGTAGTTTACTATGAAAAGGAAAAACATATTATGAAACTAAAATTCAAACTTATAATTTCCTTTGTCGTGTTATCATATGTATCAACATATATAGCCCATCTGTCATTTTACGTGTAAGTTTAGACGTTCGACTTAGAATGGGGGAATTCCTTGCTTGTATCTTCATTTTTGTATTCTCATGGTAACATAGACATCAACAAGAAAGTATAAAAGTGTGGGAAAATAAAAACACAATTCCCAAGCAAAATGAAAACATTACCATCTCGTCACAAATTCTAGCAAAAAATTTTAGTCAGGCAATATGCATATTTTTTAGAGACTTGCGTATTTCCTTTACCGGTGAAAAACGTTTTTACATACACATCAATATATATAACTCAACTGACCAAATACACCGATTAGTTTTACATTATTGCAGTGCACTACAATTATAGCCATGTACTTTTTTTATCATACAAGGAGTGTGATACTATAATGAGCATAAGTTGGTTTACTTTGCTTTTATGGGTTTTTAAAAATAATTGTATAAGTACACTGGTATTTCTTGTGTTTTAGCTATTTATTACTAGAGTTTTTTAACCAGTGATTCAAATGACTCAAAGTTATTCCATTTTTCACACAATTAGTCTTGAATAGAGGTATTATTAAGACATATTTTCAGTACTTAATGAAAAGTCCAAAAAGATGACATAACAAGGTTGTAACTACGATGCTTTTACTCACTCATCAATCCAACACTCATGTCTTCTACCATTTGAGAGCTCAATAGGCTACAGATTAAGACATATGGAATGACATTTAACCAAGAAAGAAATGTCTTAATAAGGTTGTTGAGTCATGAATTAAGTAATTAATTAAGAGGTTCAAGAATGGTTTAATATAGATAAAAACTATGCAAATAAAAAATACATGAATTCATAGTATAAATATACTCTTGCATTTGAACTCCATTAACCCATTAACAAACCACACATGGTGTTGGAATAGGGATAAACACAGCCACACAACAAGGTGGTCGTGTGATGGCAGAATCCGGCAGCCATGGCTGCCGGTGGCGCAGTCGAAGAAAATTGAACAAATAAAGAAGAAAAACACCACACAAGCTAGGAAAACGTACCAATAATATCGAATGGCATGAATGCATCACCACATCGCTGCCCTTGGAGGCTTTGACGAAACCCTAGATGAATAAAGAGTCGTCGAAATTGCCACCCTTGTCGAAAAAAACGCCAAAGCCGACACCCTTCAACCTCACCCAAACGATTCTCTCTCCCTCTCTCACGTACGCATAAGCAGAAACCCTAATGATGCGTTCATTTTTTTTAGGGCTAGAGTAGGCATACGTAACACATGAAAAAAGGAGCAATAAAGATCGAGAGTTTCTCATGCCGATTGAATTCATAAACGATATTTCCATTTTAGCCCCCATATTAGACATATCGACACATTAGAACCCCTTTCTAAAAACATGTCATGCAATACTCTCAAGGAAGACTAATTGGCCCCTAGACTTTATTATTTTTAATGATTTACTTTATTTTCCCACAAAAACCATTTTATTAATTAATATATTCTTTTAAATATTGATTAATTCTTTTACATATTATTTAAAATCACTTTTGTTTATTTTAATTTATAACCTTAAAACTGAAACTATTTACAAAAAAATAATATTCAAAAAAATTATTTTGATAGCATAAAGAGGAAAATAAAATTTTCTAATATATTTGGAGGGAGATTGAAAAAATATTGAGTAAATTAAAATTAACAATGTAACTTTTGTAATAAAAGTTGCAATTTTCAATAAAATTTGTAACTTTTTTAAAACAAGTTACAATTTTCAGTATAATCTGCAACCTTTTAAATGCAAAGTTGCAAATTTTAATAAAATTTGTAACTTTTTTAAACAAAGTTGCATGAAATCTTCTAATGCAACCTTTTTGTTCATCGATACTTTCTTTATAATCAAATGCAACATTTATGAAAATGTTGCATCTAAAGGGTCGCATTAGACCCGTTTTGTAGCAGTGAACTAAAATAATTTGTATTTGGTAAGTTCTTGGCTTGTTGTCCACTACGACCATTCCTCGACGTACGTTGGTCAAATCCAGGATAAATATAGTTGATCAGGCTATACTTATTCTCGACCTGATTACATACCCCGGGGCTCAATCGTAGTGTCGTAACTTGCCTTAATACTTTTTAGTAAAACTTGTTATGGTACGAGATTAATGCATGCTTGTAAAAATGTATATCTTTAAAAGAAAGTATTTTGTTCATGAAAATGTTTCGTCAGAGGTTTTTGGTCCCCTATGCATTTATAGTTTGTATATCGTATGTGGTTCGATATACTTAGTTCACTATAAACAATGCTCTGATACCAATCTGTCACACTCCAAAACCAGAATGGCGGAAACATTCGGGGGTGGATGACTTCACGTAGTATCACAACCATTGAATATTGTAAAGAAAGTAACACAACCATCACATATATAATGAAAACGTATGTTGTTGCGTTATACATATTAGCAAAAGAATATTACAATAAGATGATAAATGTTCAATAATAAAACATCCTTAGTGTTCCCTTCTCCAAAAGCCGGTGGTTACCTGTATTACTGATTTCCTGAGAAATACAAGTGGTTTCGAAAAAGTGTCAACAATTAAGTTGGTGAGTTCATAAGAGTTTTGCTTTGAAAAGTATGTCCTTTTTGATAGTAAATCGATGAACGAGGTTTTCAGAAAATCCAATAGTTTCTATAAATGATTTGAAAAGTTTCCCGTGTTGGAGTGCGTTAGTGTTTTCCATACTTGAATAATAGTGATAAAATTTGTGTTAACAATAAAATGGAAAACTGAAATGCATAGATGAATCTCGTAAATCAAACTTGTTTTTATACTTTTATGTGAGTTTTATAACCATACTATTGACACTGACGGCCTGTAACAACATTCTTCAAGTATTGTAGTGTTATGACATTTGTCACCCCAGACCTGCCGGTCTAACTATAGCTAATAGTTTAGGTGCGGGGTTGTCAATCCCGTATAGATCTATACACAAGTATCACGCTCTCTCTCCAATAGATTATGGTATATAATACAGGACTTGAAATGCATACATACGAGTACGTTGAAGTTTAAATGTCTCACATTACTTGGTATAAACAGATTTACGATAATAAAGACTTTACTTCTTTTGAAAGCATTTCATTTGTCGAGATGTATATGTGAAATGTATGAATCACTTGAATACTACACTCGTTATATTTTCTCAAAAGTATGTTTCCATTTAGTAAGAACAACTTGGTGATATATTAGCCCTTTAAACATAACGTTATTTTTGTATCAAAACCCTATAAGAACGATATTATAATTATGTTTATGAAATGATACTTTGACTTGTAATGTACTTGTATTCCCCCCCTAAAGCGTGAAAAGAATTGAAAAGTAGAGGTATGAACTCACTCGTTAAGTTTGAAGAGAGAGGCTAGAGTTGAGCAGAGTTTCGACTGCGGAAAGTTGCATCTTCGGGTTCTCGGGAATCTTTGCAGCGTAGATCCTTCGTCGGGGGCTCGAGTGCGGAAACCAAGGTAAGGAAATGGTCTCTGGAGCTGGGAGAATGGCTGAGGAATTGTGAAGGTGTGCCAAAACTCGAAGCTCATGCCATCTATTTATAGTGCTGCAAGAGTGAGTACGTGGGGCGTAATTTTGGAGTACGCGGGGCGAACTCACATACGCGACGCGTACCTCGTTACGCTGGGCGTAATATGGCGTCATGGCTTACGACTCCTGGCTAGCTAAGCATAGAGGGGACGGGCCGATGGGACTCGACTCTGGGTCTAGTACGCGGGGCGTACTCCCAGAGAACGCGGGGCGTAATCTGGCCTGTCCTCTTCTAAATTCCGTAACTTTCGCGTACAAGCTCCGTTTTTTGTGTTCTTTATATCCACGCGTAGGTGAGATTATGCTCTACAACATTCATTTAGACTCCGTCGGCTAGTTTTGACTTTATTTTTAATGATATATTTTTAATAGGCCGGGCCTCCTAAAGTTCATAAAAAAAATTCATAGGTTCTTTATTCGACGTTGGTTTCCGTTCGTCTTTTTATCGTTTTATTACCACTGAGGAGATCTTCAACTTCCGTTTAGGTGGCGATAGCTAAATAACACTCGATCTTCAATCCGAGTTTTTAGCCCTCTACTACTGTTACGAAACTTTGAAAATTCGTAACTTCTTCATACGAGGTCCAATTTGGGCAATCTTTTTATGCACGCTCACCTTTCAACGAGATCTACGACTTTTGTATAGATACTTAAGGCAAGAATGTATTTTATTGAGATTTAATTTTTACGTCAAATAATATTTTAACGTCGTGTCGTAAATATACGAGTGGTTATACTTTCTTCAATATAACTCGGTTTTGAGCGTTCTTTATGTTTTTGGAAACCTTGGCATGATATCAAATATTTGAGGCATCCCAACTTAGATACTTGAACACTTTATTTTCGAGGTTAATTCCGTTGTATTTGGCTTTCGAGTGTTACAATGCTTTTGGAAAATATAGGGTTGTCACAAAAGATGACCAAGTCACCCTTCACTGGCACTTGTGAGAGGGGTGAGGGTTTATTGGATCTCATACATACCGATGTGTGTGGGCCCTTTAGATCCACCACAAAGGATGCAAACCGCTTCTACATGACTTTCAATGATGATTATAATAGATATGGGTATATTTACTTAATCAAGGACAAGTCAGAAATGTTTGAAAAGTTCAAAGAGATCAAAATGAGGTGGAGAATCAATTGGGCAGGAAAATCAAGATCCTTCGATCCGATCAAGGGGGAGAGTACCTAAGTCTTGAATTCCACGACTATCTCAAGGAATGCGGAATAGTTTCGCAATTGACGCCACCTAGGACACCACAGTTGAATGGTGTGGCAGAAAGGCGTAATCGAACCTTATTAGACATGGTTCGTTCTATGATGAGTCATGCTTCACTACCTATCTCATTCTATGGGTATTCCATAGAGACTGCTGCCCATATCCTTAACCGAGTCCCTACAAAGAAGGTTGCCAAAACACCTCATGAGATGTGGACAGGGAAATCTCCCTCGTTAGCACATATCAAGATTTGGGGTTATGAGGTTTTCATAAGACGAGAGACTCACAACAAGCTCGAACCTCGTAGTGAGTAATGTATTTTCATCGGCTACCCGTAGAAATCCTTTTGATATCTCTTCTATAGACCAAGTGACAATGTTGTCTTCATTGCGAGAAGAGTGGTTTTCCGATAACTAGAACTCATAAACCAAGGAGACAGTGGGAGGCAGATCGATCTTGAAGAGATTCAAGAGTCGAGTGATGAAGGAACCTCTACCACTAGCACTCAACCCGAGAAGGAAACTCCGGTTGAACCAATTGACGAGTCATTACCTCTTAGACGTTCCGAAAGAGTTAGAGTTCAACCCCAGTTTTATGGTTTTTATATTATTACCGAAGGGGACACATATATTAGTGATGGTATTATAATAAATCTAGATGAACCTAATAGCTATAAGGAAGCCATGGCAGGCCCAGAGTCTGCAAAATGGAAAGAGGCGATGGAAAGCAAGATTCAGTCCATGTATGAGAACCAAGTTTGGAATTTGGTTGACAATGTGTCCGGACATAAGACGGTTGGCTACAAATGGATCTTCAAGAAGAAGACTGACGTGGATGGGAATGTACACACGTATAAGGCGCGATTGGTTGCGAAGGGCTTTACTCAAACTCCTGGAGTTGACTATGATGAGACCTTCTCACCAGTTGCAAAAATAAACTCTATAAGGGTGATGCTAGACATTGCTGCATTTCATGATTATGAGATATGGCAAATTGATGTCAAGACAGCTTTCTTTAAGGGGAACTTGGCTGAGGATGTTTACATGGCTCAGCCATAGGGTTTTGTTGATGCCAAGCATCCCAATAGAGTGTGCAAGCTTGAGAAGTCCATTTATGGACTTAAGCAAGCATCTTGCAGATGGAATATTTGCTTTGATGAGAAAGTCAAAGAGTTTGGATTTGTACGAAGTGAAGATGAATCATGCGTATATGTCAAGGCCAGTGGGAGTATAGTTAGCTTCCTCGTTTTGTATGTCGATGACATACTGCTCATGCGAAACGACATCCCGACTCTGCAGGAAGTTAAGTCCTGGCTCGGTAATTGTTTTGCTATGAAGGACCTTGGAGAGGCTTCCTATATTTTGGGAATAAGGATAGTGAGAGAACGAAGTAAGAGACTAATAGGACTTAGTTAGAATACTTACTTAGATAAGGTACTAAAACGTTTTAGTATGGAAAACTCGAAGAAGGGAGAACTACTGATACAAACTAATGCCAAGTTGAGTAAGACTCAAAGTCCG